CATTTCTTGCTGGGTATACTGCATATCTACGACGGAGTGATTCCTGAGAGTTCGAGTGATCTCTGAACGGCCTTGCGCGCCCTACCATATACCTTAGAGAAAGGACATAGATTTTCTCTGTGGCACTACCGACTCGGCGATCCGGCCATATTTGCGCCTTCCCTCTTGACCAGTGGACTTATGTGACGATCTGAGTGAGTTGCAACTGTTTGCCTTTCTGAAATGCGAAAACCAGTGCAGAAACTTGGAAGCGCCGTCTTTATGCAGTCTGTTAGAAGAGTCCGCTGTTGTATACAGGGCGGAACTTATCCTTCGTGGAATCTGTGTGCATTTTAATTTATTCACCCTGTTTAACAAGGATAACAATAATTGTCCAGTTCATCGGTTCAACAAAACTGGAAAATGGTTTTCAATTGAGCTCTACAAAAACACATTAAATAGGGATATCAACATAAAATTGAATTATGACACCGTATGAAGTTAAAATATTAATGACAAGAATTTTTAAAAAGTCAAAATATATACATGAAAATTAATATTAAATGACATTAATTTGGAGTATATAGGGGCTAAGGATCAGGGGCGAAGTCCAATAACCAGGCAAAGACCACAAGCAACAGAGTGTACGAGAAACGAATCGATTGTGCTCACTGGAATCTATGGCCTGCAGCCCGAATGGGACTGGAGGTCCTTGTTCGCAGTGGCGTTTCAAATGGGGGGTGGGTGTACGTGCCCCCCCCATTTGAAATTTTGAAATGGACCACAAAATATCTATACCTAGTTCAATTATTTTCAGTGCCCCCTGAAAAAAAATGTGCACCCCCAGGTGCCCCTCAGCTGTACTAGCACCCTAGCCACTGCTTGTTGGTCCTTTGTCAGGTCGTCTCGTGATTGTCTCAAGTTGTCTGATTAAACGAGAACACAAGTGATGAAACAAAGCCAGTCAAATGAAGTCAAAGATGAAGTCAAATCCTGCCCGTTTTTTTTTTGAAAGTGGAATATCCAGCAAAGGAAAGTTTGAAAAGAATTTAATGATACAGTTACCCAAACAAAAGTTTTCAATGTATTGCACTTGGCCATAGCAGAAGAAATCAAAAATATAAATTACTGCCAATAAATATGCAGTGTTTTTTATAAATACTAATCGGTAACTGCCACTTTTTCCTCTCCAGCACGTCTGAAAAAAATTCTCATAAGCCTACAGTCTCTACATTTGAAATTGATGTCCTTTTCTTAAGAAAATGTAATATTTCCTTCCTTTACACACGATTAATTTTCATTGTGTTAAAGAAGTAATCCTGACCAGATTACATAAGGTAAGTCTTAAGGCCATTTCAAATGAATTGTTTTTGGTCAACGTTGAAAAGAACGACCCGATGAGATAATTATATTCAACGGCCCTCAACTCAGAAGTGATCCTTGCGACTGACGATGACTTGGGTCACGATTACACACGTTTCTCGTTGAGGGCGCCATCAGTGTTCGATAGGGAGGGATTGTAAACGGTGTTCTCACGGGCGCACTGTCGACGGTAGACCACAAATAGGGCTGTAGTAGCTCGCTTTTACAATCTGTCAGAGAAGAGACAGATTGTAAAAGCGAGCAACTACAGCCCTATTTGTGGGGATGTGCCGAAGGGGGAGTAAAGACTACCTAAAAAGGTCCAGTTCAGGATTAAATTTTTGGAGGGGAGTACCCTTTATTTTGACGTCTCTCGCGTGCAGAATGTCAAAGATTGATGACAGCATGAGGTTTTAATTTAACGGCTGTGATGGTAGGTGAACAGCGTGATAAACAGCTATACGTGTGTAAAAAGGACCATGCATTAGCCAAACTGGGATTGGTTATTCAAATTTGAGAGTTCAAAGATGCATTGAATATCCTAGGACATCATGGTTACAAGAATAATGAAATAATGTAGTTTTTCACTCATAAGAATTAACCATTTTTCTAAACGCTCTGGGAAGTTGTGACTTGTAAAGAAGGGGGGAAGGGGAACTGGAGCACTCCTAAAAATTGACATCTGGTAGGAGTTAGCTGTACATCAGTAACAATGAAATGTATTACCTATGAGTCTGCCTGTCTACAAGAATCGGACTTCAAAAATCTAATGGGCCTGATGATCCCCATTCCCTGGACTCTTGGAAAAGCTTGAAAGACAAAACTATGGTAGCTCACTATAATTTGATGGTATGGGCACATGTATGAGGCTTGTGATTAACTTCTACGGTAGGCAAGAAAAATCCACTTTTCAATTGATAAAGTATAGTATTATTTATAATGCCTAGATGCCCCCAAGTACTTAAAGTGCCATGTGAATAAACTGTACTCTCTGACTAAACCGCAGTTACTGTACCAATTTAATCAGAAAAAGGCTTCTAATCTTCCCATCATCATAAAATGAGGGACACTGTGCCACAAAAGAACAAGTACATGTGTATCCGGTAAACTGGAGCTGGTTTATTTATGTTTCTAGACAGAAGCACTGCAATTTAAAAAGCCACCTGCTAGCATAAGCAGATCAAGAACCAAATTTAACTTTTTTTTGGGGGGGTGGGTGGGTGGTGATTTCTTTGTGTAATCTTTTGGCCTTTTTGAGGGGTGAGGCTTGGTCTGGGGGCTTTTTACACTTTTGGAGGGAAGAGAAGTGGAATACTCACTCCCCCAATCCATTCACCCACCCTTCCCCCACCCCCCACAAAAAACTGCCATTTATTTTAAAAAGCCCTTTTTTGAGAGCCTGGCTTCCACTTCTCCACCCCTTGATCCATCAATGCGCACCAGTTAAAATACTGTTGAAAATTGTTCCCTGTTCATTTCAGTATTTCTGTGATCTCCTTGTGGCCTTCTGTCGCATGTCCACGGTCCTCTCCAGAGATCTTTCGCACAGTTTTCTCTTACCCACTGTCTAGCTTAACCTCTGACTTCAGGTCATGCTCTTTGACCTCTGAGAGTTCTTCAATCATAGTTCTGTGTGGTTTTCTTGATCCATTCGGCAATTTGATGTTTGTTGTAGTAACCTCACTGAACAGAGACAGTTCCTCGTCTGAGTTCTCATCTGATGAGCTATTTTGACTTTTGTCATCATCGTCGTTGTCTTCACCAGATGAATCGTCATCCTCGTGGAAAAGAGCCAAATTCTGAATGCAGGCAGAAATTCAAACTAGTAAAACTGCCCTTGAAAGGACACATGCAATTTTGTTTCAAATACTTTTCTAAACTTAAGTTCACAGATACATCAATCCTTTTCTTACATACCTTACCTTCTTAAATTGGGTAAGAGACAATCCAGATGGGGGGGCAGCCCCCAGCGGTGAGACAATTAAAAAATGGATCTTTTAGGGTCAATACCGTTTCATGTAGCTCAGGCAATTGCTTTAAAAAATAAAACAATTATGCATATTGTTTGTATATTTCCACTTCCACTTTCCACTTAATTTTGCTTATTTAACAAATATTTCAAGCTTACAGCTCCCTGTGATCAGCAAAGCATGGCCCCTAAAATGTCAACACTCTAAATATCCTGCAAAGGTCTACACTCGTACCATCTCAATAACTTCTTTCTCGTGGCCTGTGATGTTCTCAATGTCTAGCTCCTCCGATGGCACTGTTTTCAGTCGCTCCTCTAGTTGGCTGTTTGCCTCTTGCATCTTGGGGAGGAAGGACTTTACCTGACTCAAGACTGCAAGGGGATGAGTAAAAAGAAGCAATCACAAAAATGTAATCCGTTACCTGAAACAAAGATGGGAGCCATTAGAATGTTGCTGCTTCTATCCGCACAGTGCTGATGCAATTACAATACAGATTTGTACACATTCTGATGAAAACTAGCTCTTTCACTCTGCACTAAACAAGTGCACATCTGTGTGCATAAAGGATGTGTCCTCCCTCACTGGAGCTCTAGGAGGTGATCAGAGAGCACTTCCCAATGTACCTGTCAACAGCTCCTGCTCAGATGTTTTGGGGTCTCAAGTAGGCTATAATAAAAAAAAATAACATGCACAATAGGTACCCACTGTTATTGCTACTTCGTTCCAAAATTCGATTTACCTGATGATGCAGGCATTCTGTATGGCTTTGCCTTTCTGATCAAAAGTGGATCCACTGTTTGAAAAGAAAAACAAAACTTGGCAAAATCATATTGATATGTGAGGATTTGGGACTATCGGGGCTATCATGTTTTGCATTGTAGGTTTATATCATCAACGGAGATCCTGGGAGGGGGATGGGAGTTATACAGGTATCCTTCCCAATGTTTGACCGGGGTGGGGGGAGTTACTAATATATTCATCCCTTCACTTTTCAAGTCACCGACTTTATGCGCACTGGTAGCCTGCATCACTGACTCTGCACTTCCTAGTGTCACGATCTCACATGAGATGGTGGCCATGCTGAGCCTGATGGATGAATACAAAAGTCATCCCTCCCACATGTGACAAGAAATCTCTGCCGATGGTTTATATTAATGCAAAGCACAGATATAAGATCCTACATGTAATAATGATTAGATCAGATAAATCCAGTGAAAGTTACCTCGTGTTTAGAAACATTTTTTTTTTTTTGATGATCATCAAAATGTGTTTGTTGTTTTTGAAAACATAATGAGAACAAGGTAATTTGTGCGGGCCATTCCATTTTCCTCCCCTCCTAAAGCACGCAAAAAGCCCCAACTTTACTCTCACAAATGCCATACGGGCTAGAGATGGTACATGCAAAATCCCCAAATTAGAAAGTTTTCTTAAATTGTGGTGAAAAGTAAGTTTCCTCTAACAGCAACCCGTACTAGGTGAGAGGGTAAGCAGTGAGCATTCTGGTGAAACTTCAGCTCATAAAACCCCCAGGATGTGATGGAAAGAATTCCAGAGCACAGGCACCACAAACACTGATAGTAAACAAAAGTAACTAGGCTCACACAGTAACCTGACTAATTTTGCAGTACAAGTAGCCATCTAAAAGCAATTAAAATCCTACAAAGTACAGTGGGATGTGGGAGCACCATTTCAGGACTGTTTTGAAGGTGAAATCTGAGGATTTTGATTGGGGGAGAGAGCTTTTTTAGTGAAATCAGTAAGTGGTACACAAGGTCTAAGGGCAGTGTATTGTTCTCAAGCTCCATTGCCGACCATTTTCAATGGTTTACAGTCACTTTGCCCCATTTCCACTTCACCCCTAACCACTTCGCCCCATCCCCACTTCGCCCCATCCCCACTTTGTCCCATTTGCACTTTGCCTTCTGTGCTCGAGAGTGTTACAAGCCTCTTCAAAAAATGGTCGAAAGGGGAGTTCAACAAATGACGTTTAGCTATTATAGAAAACTCTACGGCATTAAATTAATGTCGACTGTGTTGTCCATTATGGTGTATTAATACATATGATTGGATTAGCATCGGGATTATTTCTCATCACGTACATGTACCGTCGCCACGGCATGAATAGACTGGTTGCCACACTCCATCACGCATTTTCTTACACGGGTGTAGCATGGCGAGAACCAGCGCTTTGCTCACATGTTTTCAACACAGCGACAACGAAACAAGAAAAAAACTTTTTTTTCTTACTTGTCAATAACAGTTTTAAGGTCTCGCCGAAAAATTTGGGTTCGGCAGCATTGTTTTGGCCTCTGAAAGTTGGATCGTCCGATCGTTATTTAGTTTAGGTACTCAAACGTTGATGTTTTTACTTGTTGCCTCTAGGCCTACACATGTGTCTGTAACTGAAGAACAAAATGAATGATAATCAATGGGGCAAGGTGGGAATGGGGCGAAGTGACCGACACCCTTTTCATTTATATCAATCATGCCAAGTCAACCAACATGATGACCAACCAGCAATAGGCAACTGTGCAGCATGGCGAGTGTGACGTGACTGTTAACTGGCATGGCAGACCGGTCAATTGGTAATATCCACAGCTTAATTTCAATGACATTAACAAACCATTTGTTGTTTTTCCAACATCAAGTAGGTCTTTTGAACGAGTTTGGTCGATGCTTGAATTGAAGTCATTTCTTTCCATCATTTTTTTTGCGTTACACACACACGAACGGCAGCAGGAGTGGAAGGGATGTCTGTAAATTTGCTGAACGTTGGTGCTGGTTCATCATGTGTTGGCATGGTACGGTACGGCGGTTGGACTATGATTCGATAGAGGGCGTTATTTTCTAAACTTCCAACATATTCCATGCAGTTATCTTGTTAATTATTGCATGCTTTAAATGTCTCGATAACAAAGTGTAAAACGTTTCATATTTAAAAAAAATCATACTTTTGTTACATTTTCTTACCGAAAAACCGCCTTTATATCTGTGAAAGGGGCGTTTGATTTTTGGAGTTGTCCACACTTGAAACCCGTTTCCGGTAGCGGACTTTAAACAAGTTTATTTATGTCATGTTGAAATAGGCTACGACTTTCAGTTTGTATCGACAAGTTACGTTGAACACTACATAGCCATAAGCAAAGCCATAAGCATTGACACTGCACTGGAAATGTTGTCCTTGTGGCACTGCCATGTCGAACTCGTACGGTACACGTTGACATACGGGCGTTTGATTTTGTTAAATTTCTGGGGCTTATTTCTGTGGATTTTGCTGTGAGCCTCATTGCCGACAAAAAGCAGCGATGACGAATGGTAATGTTGACAAAGGGATGTACCGACATAATTTGGTTAGGTCTTAGCAATCACGACAGTGGCGTAGCTGGGAAACATTTTGCCCGTTTCGCATTTCTGAGCGGGGGGGGGGGGCGGTGTTTGTTATTTTCGGACCCCTTTCCTACATAGAAGGAAGAATTAGATTTAAGCTTTCCAGACTCACCTAACCAGATGACATTGACATTATTTTGTGAAAGGTTGATTTTGAAGAAAGAGGGTAGGGTTTGATTTTGGAGGGAAAAAACCTACGATGTCGACACAGATTGTGTACTTCCGCATCCACCATGTTCACTGTAAATGTAAAAAATGACGATAGTCAATAATCTCAGAACCTGCTTGGTAGATTGTCTCTGATTGGTAACAGAAAAGTTTCATTAGAAAGCTGATCTCTGATTGGTTGAGATGAGCCGATTAGGAAGCAAGACTAAGAGTATTGAAAATAACAGCCAGGCCGTGTCACTAATTGGTTACTGGAAACTTTCCTTAGAAAGTGGATCTCTGATTGATTGGAAACATGGAAAGGCAGATACGGGAGTAAGAGCATTGAAGAGAACAGCCAAAGGTGTCACAGTCTGCCATGTGCCTGTGTGTCCAGTTGAGTGTGCATTTATGCTGACAAGATTTTTTCTCCTGATTTACTCTTCCAAATATAACCCAAAGAAGGTCATGACAATCAAGAGACATTGCCCGAGTGATACTCTCCTTCAGGGCCGACCTTTATTAGTAAAAAGTAACTAAAAACGGGGGTCCTGAAATTTATGAACATCGGGTGGCTCACTGGGTCTTAGTCAACTAATTGCCTGACATGCCTGACAGCAGTTAGAACTTGCCAGGAGAGAAATGTAACTTTGTCAGACTTGCCATGGTCCAGTGTAACATTAGTCCAAGTAACACGGACTCTACAAATCGCCTGTTTAAACACTTGGACATGGTCTGGCGATCTACTGTCACCTTCACTGGCAAAAGAAAGACAAGCTGGTCCTAAGCAGTTTTCCAGCCCATTCTTGCATGCCTACGGCATGCACACAAAGACCATACAAATAAGACATTTCGGAATAAGCTTGTGGCACGTATTTAGCGTGCCCCATGCCAAATGTGCAAAAACTTGCACTGCGGTGAGTTCGTAACAAAGGACTGTCAGTGTCATTTAAAAACACTCCCCCTTTTGCTCCCACTTGGAGTGGATAATGAAAGATAGAACTTGGCCATAAGGAAAAATATCTTTTTAAAAAGGTTCACGTTTCAATTGGCCTCTGGGAGTCACCAAACTCACCAATATCTTCACATATTTTTTAAACTCCATCTGATTACAGCTTACTCCTTCGATGGTTTGATCATCTTTGGACTTCTAGTCATCTGTACCTGTGCCTACATGAGACGGGTACCACGTCTCAAGCAGTGGTTCTTGTCAGAGAAGAAGGGATTTCTGGGTGTCTTCTACAAAGGTAAAAGAGTCATAAGGCAGGTCTTGCTTCACAGGAGTGCAGGTTGTTAACAACTGGCAAATTGTGACATGCTTGAAATATTGCGGTCTCAGTGCTGCACTTTTAAACACACGTACTCCAATTTCTGGCTTACACTTGGAAAAAAAAACGAACATATAACAATTTGTAACAGAGATAGTTTGGGCAGAGTTTGACTCCCTCCCACTTTTTAGCTCCTTAGGCAAGTTTCTAAACTACTGAGCTATGCAAATTGATCAGCTAAGGGGTTGGTTTGGTGATACAAAATTAATATCACTACAAAATAAACTCCTTATACCTGGCGCTGATCATGCTCAGTAGAGGGCGCACTGCACTGCACCAGTAGATTTTTGTACATTTCACAGCTGACCAAATTTAATGAGACCCTGGTTTTGTTGGTAGAAAATTTCTAAAATGTAAAATTGGCAGGAGAGGGAGGTGATTAAGTTAATCCCAAAACTCTAGACTGGAACAAATTCTGAAAATAAAACACTGACCTCATTAAAGAACACTGAATTCTTATCCAGTC